GTACTCTCTAAATAATATACATTTCTTTACCATTAATTATGCAGTTTTTTCAAAAAAGGTTATTTCATGAAAAAATTACATTTGTTCGTTTTTTTGTGGTTTTGGTTTAAAAATACAAAAAGCTATAAATTATGTACATCAGCTGAAGAACAAATTAATTACCTTTATGGTGACGTCATTAGTTTTTTAATCGGTTATTAAGTTCATAAAATATTAATATTTAAAATATCTAAAAACTGAACTTTAACCTTCTAGTACCTCTTCATTTTTTACTTGCGCCAAATCATTGTTGGTTGAAATGAGCATAAAAAGTTCTATTGATCTGCATTTTTCGTTTTTGCATAGCTGAACGGTCGGTATTTTAGATTTGTTCCCGGAAATGACGAATAACTTAAATCAAAATTGCCTATTTTTATGTATTGATTAGTATTTCAATTAAATCACCAAATATATTGCAAATTCGCATAGAATTAATAATACACATTTTACTTCTAATTGTATACTTTGCGTTCTTTTTGTAGTACCATTCCACTACCGTTTTCGTAAAATGCGATCACATTCTTCCCTTTTCTCCTACTTCCAAAATACAAATCTAGATAAAGGAGTGTCAAATTTTAGCTGTCACAAATTACACAACCTTGTATTATTGAGTCATGATTTATAAGTATGAACAAAATAAAATGCGAAAACGCATCAACTATAATATCAGCGAATGTATTTTGGTTTTCTCGCATTTTAACATAAAAATTAAATATGAGACTTAGAAATAGGGTGTAAGAAATTGTTAGTCGCCTTTCAAACGTTTAGTAAACTCTACTTGTTGCATTTCCTTCCATTCTTTCTTTGGTTTCATTCGTTTGAGCTGCCCATCCCAAACTAGATCTACTAGTCCGCCCTGTTTTGCTATGACACTTTTGACACGATTGGCAAAATCTATAGCTGATTCGCCCTCTTGTCGGTACATAGGTGGCAAGTACCAAACATCACATACAATAGCCCATGAAGTCATCATCATATATAAATATTGCATCATCGAATATTTTGAGCTATTCCAGAATGCATCTCCGAAACGAGGGTCGTATCTAAAATTAATCAAATTAAAGTAAATTCCAGATCAACATTTTTAAAAAGACAAGCAAAAAGTGCATATAAAACATGAATAAAGTTACGCCTTCAATGATTTATTTGATTAAAAAAAGGAGTACGTACTTGATAGCCACCGGATAAATAACCCCTCCTACTTCGAAGCTGCCTTTTTTAAATTGCATAACGGATGTGTTGTTAATGCAGGTACCCTCGGGGAATATCAGTATGGGAGGATTATTTGGATTTGATACGTGCTGTTTAAGGCGTTCGGCCACTGCGTGTCGATCCTTTGCCTCTCCCCTTTCAAACCAAATATGAGGTGATGCTCGAGCTAAAGCGCGTTGTAATAAACCCAAAAATCCACCATGCCGTTGGCCAATCTTCAAAATACATTATAATTTAAATACACATTTTCCAAGATATAAAATATAAGTATTTAATGTGGTGAATCAAAAATGTTACATATCGTTACCTTAGTATAGAAAGGCCCTAATCATTTTTATTTGAAAACCAGAACTGTTGAAAGTTCTGCCTGCGGGATTTTAAAAATAACTAGTACAGCATACTATTAATTACATTCTTCAACAAAACCCAGCATTTGAAAGAAATTCGCAGCAAAAGGACTTTATTTTC